ATTCATATTCTATTTGGTTGTTACAGGGTCTCACTATGCACCTTGGCGTCATAGTATTCCTCCTGTTTTCAGCGTCCTCAGCACTGGGATTACAGGCATGCTCCTCTTCGCATGGAATCTGTGGCCAGCTCAGTGGTCCTGGGGAGGGGCTGGCAGGGCATAAACTGTCCAAGGGTGCACCATGGTTCCTGCACTTGCCTAAGTAGTTGCTTTAGTCTGCTGAGCTATCTAGGCAGCTCCTGCCCCTTTCCCTTTTTCAGTTTAAGAATTCCACTACTAATCTTGAACACTTACTTCTGATTCACACCTTAATTGCTCACCATGTGCAGTTCTTTGATTCTGTTGAGAGTATATTTCAATGCAAAATTGGGCATTTATTTTATTTTACTTTTTATTCAATTTAATTTTATTATTTCACTTTGAAAAGTAGAAGACAAAACCAAGAACAAAATCAGAAACAATGACAGAAACAGGGTAACATACAAAATATATAAGTTACAGATTTTCAGAACAAGAATAGCTGCTTAACTTTGCTTGATAAATTATCTATTTTTATCTACCAATCTGTTGTTCAGATTAACACATATAGTTATGTAAGATTGGACATATGATGGCATATTACTGCTTGTTTTTCAGAAAGCTGGAATTTTTGTTCTTGTCCCTCTTGGGTTTTTGTTTTGTTTTGTCTTTTTAAAAAAAATTTACTTCGAAGAGCATATAATAATAATTGATATAAAATTAGAAATGGTACACATTTAGAAAATCAAGATGAAAAGTATTTAATCATATTTTTGTGTTACATATTTCTGTCCTTGATGTAGTTTCTTAGATCACAGATACCAGTATGCTGTTAGTCAAGGTGAAAATTCTACTGCTTAACTCCTATTTTCAAAAAAAGAAGGAAATTTTTAGTACAGTCACCTCAGTCATCCTGAATACATACTTGCATATTTTCCCTCCTACCTTTTCATCTAACTTTTCTCCTTTTTCTCATCTCTGTGGTTTAATCCTAAAACTCTGTTTCTTTCTGTTTTACTATATCTGTTATAACTTTCATCTTTAATTTTTTGGGTGCTTACAATGGGAAGATTATGCAATATTTAGACCTGAGGGTTGGATTTAATTCACTTATGAGTATAGCTTCTAGTTGCATCCAGTTATCTATGAAGGCTTTGTGTTTGTCTGTCTTTATAGATTGATATTCCATTGTATAAAAAAAACACATATTTTTAATATAATCCTCAGGTGATACGTATTTTGGCTGTTTGCAAGATTTGGCTATGACCAATTGTGCTGCTATTGTATGATTTTTTAAGTTCTTTAGGGAAAATACTCAGAAAGGGAACAGCTGGATTGAATGGGATTTCCCATCCTAATTTTTGGAAAAGTCTCTACAGTGATTTCCATAGTGATTGTACCAGTCTTCATTCCCACAAGCAGTGGACAAGGGTTCCTTTTCACCCAGAGCCTCTCCAGCATTTCTTATTAGTTGATTTATTTATGATAGCCATTCATTCTTGGGTGAGATGGTATCTCAATTTTATTTTAAATTTTATTTTTCAAATAGTCAGGGATGTGGAGCATATTTTTATGTAATTATTTGTCTCTTATATTTCTTCCCCTGAGAAGTAAATATTCATCTTAGAAGCCAAATTTTGTATAGGGTCTTCAACTTTTGGGGCCCTATTATTTTTAGTTCTTTATATACTCTAGATAGAAGACCTTTGTCTGTGTGATTATTGGTTAATATTTTTTCAAAATTTGTGGGTTGTGTTTCACCCTGTTGATGATTGTATCTGATGTGCAGAAATTTCCCAATAAGAATAATTCCCAGCTGTTGATTCTTGGTAATATTTTCTGGGCAGTTTGATTTTTGTTCATGAACTAACTGTCTGTCAATCCCCATCACTTCAGGATTTCCACCCACTTTCTCTTTCTGGGAATTTAGTGTTTCTGTTTTAATGTTTAGATCTTTAATCCATTTTGACTTTAGTTGAGTGCATGGTGATAGACACAGGTCTAGTTTATTTTTCTGCATGTGGACAGCCAGTTTTTCAAGCACCATTTGTTAAAGAGGCTATCTTTCTTCCAGTGAATGCATTTGGCCTATGTGACAAGGAGATGGGTGAGTTTGCTTACATTTGCATCTGTATCATTTACTCTGTTCCATTGATCCAATGGTCTGTTTTTATGTCAATGCCATGCTGATTTTATCACTCTGGCTTTGTAGTATAATTTCAATGCCTCCTTCCTTGCCTTTGCGGCCCAATATTGCCTTTTCAATTCTAGGTCTTTTCTAATTCCAAATAAGTTTTAGGAATGTTTTTCTCAGGATCTGGGAGGTATTTTGGCGTTATTATCAGTGGGATTGTATGAAATCTGTGAAAGAATTTTTGATGTATGGCTATTTTTACAGTATTTCTTCTTCCTGTACAGCAGCAAGGGATACCTTTCCATTTTCTAAAATCTTGTTCTATATATTTCTTCAGAGTAATGTAATTTTCATTTTACAGACCTTTTACTCCTTAGTCAATTAATCAGATTAATTAACTAGTCAATTAGTCAATTAATCAGTGAATTAGATTAATTCTTAGGTATTTCCTTTTTTGGATGCTATTTTGAATAGTACAGTTTCTCTTAATTTCTCTCTGTTTATTTGTTATCTGTGTAGAGGAATGCTATTGATTTTTGTTAATAGACTTTCTACTCTGCTATGCTAGTGAATTTGTTTATTAATTCTAGAAGCTTGTTGGTGGTGTGTTTCAGGTCTTCTAAATGAAGTATTATATCATCTGAAAACAATGATAGTTTAACTTTTTCTTTACCTATTCTTATTTCTTTTATATCTCTCATGCCTAATGCCTCCAGCTAATGATTAGAGAACTATACTGAATAAGGCTGGTGATAGAGAACATCCTTATCTTCAGATTTATTGTAAAATATCTCAGCATTTCCCCATTTAGAAATATGTTGCCCTGTCATAGATGGCTTTAATCAGATTGATGTAGAGACCATTAGTCCGACTTTCTGTATGGTTTTGATCATGAATGAAATTGGACTTTGTCAAAAGCTTTTTCTGCATCAATTCAGATGGTCAATTGGTTTTTGAGTTTTGGCTCTTTTAGGATAGTCTATTATACTCAAAGATTTGTGTACGTTGAACCATCCTTGCATCCCTGGGATGAATCCTAACTGGTCATGGTGTATAATCTTCTTGATGATTTGCTTTATTCTATTTGATAGGATTCTGCTGAGTATTTTTGCATCTACGTTCATAGTGGAGATTGGCCTGTAGTTATCTTTTTTGGTTCAATCTTCCTCTGGTTTTGATATCAGTAAAATATTTGCCTCCAGGAATTAATTTGGGTGTATTGCCTCCTTTTCAATTTTATCAAGGAGTTTGAGGA